CTCATTTCACAAGAAAGGTTAATATGATTTATTTGGACATATTTCCAAAAGCACTTAAATGCTTTCTAAAAATTGAAATATAATTAATAATACAGTAAATCAGTATAAATGTAAAATGACCTTCAAAGATCTCTAAAGCTTATTTTTCAAGACATTTGTTACATTGTACTGCTGGGTTACAGATATGATGAAGACTTTTTTAAAGTAGTTATGACAGTTTATGAGACTACAAATAGGAAATCCGTTGAACAGATTGTAAATTGCTTTCAGCTGTCTCTTGTTATTTTTAATAGATTTCTGGGTTCATTAATGCAAACTTAAGTTGTTTTCTAATAACAGGACAGTATAAGGTACAGTATAAGGTACAGTTAATTTAAGAAGAATATCAAATACCTTCTTTTTTATTTTCTTGTGTATTAATTCATTTGGTAAATGTTAATTGAGATTCTGGTGCATGCAAATATTGTGATGAATTCTGGAGAGACATGAAAGTTATAACCAGCTAAGGAAGGTGAAATGGCAAATTATAATGCAGTGGAAAATATAATATGTAGTGAAGTTTTCTTAGGAAATTTTGAAGATTAACCAGCAAAAGGATGTATCCCTGTGTTTTGAGAATTTTAGGTAAAGCATTACAAAAGAGCCTTTGTGAACAGATTTGTAGGATTAGTGGGGATTTCATACATTGAGAAAAGGCAAAAGGACTTTCTATTATGTTCATATGCACAGCTTTGAGGAAATCTCGCATGTTTAGGGCACTGTATCTGGTTAAACATAGCTAGGTATGTAGTCCAGAGAGGATAATTTTAGAAAGGTAGAAAAGGTCTACTTCATTCATGAAAGGCCTTTTCATACAATTATAAGAAAGTTATATTCTCAACCTTTTTCCAACTTTAAATCATTAAATGAATAACTTATCTGAACAAGATACATTGTAAATGGGTAATTTTTGGTCATTGTAGACCATCATATAGATTAGTTACAGATTGATGAATTTCTTGGTATATTAATAAGGGTTCAGTGCAGGACTAGAAATCACTGTAGGTATTAAGCACAAAGGAATTTAATTCAGGGATGTAGCTGTTTACAAAATACCAAGGAGTGCTAGAACTATTGAGTTTCAGGAATTATGATTACTGCCATACAACTGCCTCTCAGCACATGATTCTCAGGAGTAGAGCTTGGAATGCTGTCATAAGTACCTCTTGCCTTGAACAACACCCTTGTCAGTAAAAACAGCAACAGAAAGATGATCTGTGCCTCCCTTTTGCCTACAAATTTTAAGCATATCTAATTGGTAGAAACTTCTTTTCATCTGGAACTCTAGCTGTGGAAGAATCTGGGAAATAGAAGTTTTAGTTTTCTAGAATCTGCAGAACAGGAAGGCATATAGGAGAATGTAGAAGAGGATGCTGAATAATAGTTGATTAAATCCAGTACACTATAACTCTACACCCTTTCCCCAGATATATGTAGCACAGAGTATCACTAAAAATTTAGGAAGTATTTGGTAGAAGATAGGAAGTCCTTAAGGTCTTCCAAGTAAGATAATGATATGATTTCTCTTGGCTTTGAAAAGATAACTCTAGTGGCAGCTAGGAATTGATTTGAAAATATAGTAATAATGGTTTAAATTAGGCCCAAGCCTTGAGGAGAGAGAGAAAATTAGGAATATCTGATTGTTAATTAACAATAAATTCTCACAATTTATGTAATTATTTTGTTCATTTAATGAATTACTTATTAAGTAAAGGATAGTGTGGTATTTCCTGAGAATATAAAAGTGATGATGCATTTTGTCATGTTGAGCTGATTCATTGGTGATACAGGCATATAGATGAGCATATTGGTTCATACGTCTTTATGGATTAAATACACATATGTATCTATACCCTTGTTTATGGGTGATTAATTTCAACATTACTTAGACTGTATGTGTTCTTCTGTTAAAATTGTTAATAGTTAAATCTTTTAAATTTGGTGCTTGACTGTAAAATGTTTGACAGACAGCTGCTAAAGCTAAATAGTGAATAGGATATATGTATCACTTCCTAACACTTAACATGTTACATTTTTTTTCATGTTACATTTTTTTAAGTCCCTTAAGCAAATAAGGAAATTATTGTGTCCTAGTAACAGCTTTGTGTAGAATATCTACTTTTAAGTCCTGTAGAGGGAATTAGAATACAACTCCATTTAGTGACACCCTGAGGGAATTCAACTTAACTATCTATCTATCCAATCTATTTATTTCTAGTACATTAGATTCAGTCATACATCAAAAGGTACCTGAAAAGGTACCTTTTCAGGCCCAGTTTAATATACCATTCTTATAATATCCGATCTCACTAGTCTTTACTGAGTTTTAATGTTTTTCATGAGTCTCAACTATGTTACTTTAATTATTTTCAGTATAACATTATGCTTTAATATGTCAGCACATAAACTTAAATTAATTTGGTCCTGGTATCAGTAAAAACTGAAGTCACCATCATTATTATGATCTATATTACCGTAAAATAAAAAATTTTGTTTGCTCACAGTTCTGTGGGTCAGCACTTGGGTTGAGCTCAGCAGAAGTGGTCTTTCGCTGTAGTCACTTATGCAACCATAGTTATCTAGCTGCTCAACTGGATTGGATGATCTAGCTTGCCTTACATGTCTGTTGGTTGATGCTGGCTGTGGGCTGGGCCAGATTCTCCCAACAGGTTAGTCTGGGCTTCATCACATGGCACCTGGGTTCTAAAGGCATAAGAAACAGGGCAAGCCCCAAGGTGCACGTGCTTTTCAAATCTTTGCTTGTGGCAGAGCTGCTAATGCCTCAGTGGCCAGTGCAAGTCACAAGGTCCTAGAATCAGTAGTGGGAGAGACTATACAAGGAGGAGGATACAGGGAAGGAGATGAGATCTCTTGGGGGACATTGGTGAAACTTTCTCTTTTCAAGTTTCTTTGCATCTGTTGATCTGAACTCTTTAAATTTGAGATCTCTTTGTCCCATGGCTATTCAGTGCCATTTGTTTCATGACTACTTTTACTGAAAAATACTATCATGGCTCACTGTCTTAGAATCATTAAGAATAAATCTCTCTTTTCAGTCTTTCTTTCTCTCCTTATGTGTATACAAACACACACACACACACACACACACACAAATACATATATACACATTGATCAGGGAGCCCAACATGGGGGCTCAAGATTCTGAGATCATGACCTGAGCCGAAGGCAGATGCTTACCAACTGAACTATCCAGCTGCCCCAGATTTTTATTTAATTAACAAGGAAATAAGTCATATAACAAATATTGAAAGAACCCATTAAATATAGTAAGTCTAGTTTGTGTCAACAACCAGTTTTATATCTTGGTGACTGAATAAATTACCCACAAATTTATGATCTTACAATTCTTAGTAGTTATATTCATTGAATTGCTTTTCTAGTAGTATGTTTTGGGGAACCACATTTTCTTATTGGCCTTTCTGTAAATCACTGGCATGGTATTTTATTTGGTTGCAACATGGGATTTTAGTATTCTGTTTCTATTCCCACTTGTTCAGAGCCATTAAAATTTGCTAATTAAGAAATTCCCAATTTTAATAAGAACCATTTGACTTCCCCCCTCTTCAACTGAATCGAATAATGAGGGAAGTTAAGGAGTAGAGTAATTTTTAAATGTGGTTCATTATACAAATACATGCCTGTTATTTCTATACAAAACTCATTCTAGGGACCATGATTATGTTAAAGTCTTGGTGCTGGATAATTAAGTGAACATTTTAATTAAGTTCCTTCTTAAAATGTTAAATAGTAGTGTGTTTTCACTTCAGAAAACAAAGATACTTAACATTTTTCTGCAATATAAGTTGCTTTTATAATTGAGAAGAAAACTTAATGATGGTAGCTAATATTGAAAGAGTAAATCTAGGGAAAAGTTCTGTACTTTTTGCTGAACATTTAAGAATTTATTCTTATTTCATTTCCTTAAATATTTGAGAAACAGCTGCAATATGCTGTTGCACTGGGAATAGAAAATATTGTATGAATATATCCAAAATCTCTGCTATTGAGATAACTTTAAGTTTTTGAAGCATATTATATAAATAATTTTGTTAGTAGTAAAATCGAAGATAGGTCATGTAATTGTATTAAGCAAGTCAGTAACTACCGCTTTTGTAGAGTAAAGAATAAAAGAGAATTGCAGGGGCGCTTGGGTGGTTCATCTGTTGAGTGTCTGCCTTTGGCTCAGGTCATGATCCTGCGGTCCTGGGATGGAGTCCTGCATCCAGCTTCTTGTTCAGTGGGGAGTCTGCTTCTCCCTCTCCCTTTGCCCCTCTTCCTGCTCCTGCTCTCTCTCAAATAAATAAATTATTTTATTTTATTTTTTTTTAAAAAAGGGCAATTGCAAAGTCGTGGAAGAGATCAGGAGGTTGTGTATTTCTTTTTTTTTTTTTTTTTAGTCATCTGGTCATTATTTTGGCTTATGCTGAAATTGTCTTTGAATTTTCAAGACATTTAGCTCTATTCATGTTTTAGTTTACAAATCATTTTGAATGAAATGGTTGTTTTATGATAGTTATTTCATTGTTCATTTTATATCTGTCTTGTTATTGCTACTTTTAGGTACTTCAGATAGTTAAAATTTGTGCTTAGTAACTCCTAAGAAATATAAAAGTATCTTGGGATCATGTGAGTATTAGACTCATAATTTGTTGCTTTTAACAGTTGAATTTGTGATATAAAGTAGTACAGTGATTGACATAGCCAGATTTGAAACACATACTAACTTTAAACTCCTCTTCTTTCTATCAAGCCATGCTGTTTATTTACTGTAACACCTTATGTTTGACATAGAAGTTGAATTTGCATTTTCAGGACATAAATCTAGTTGTATGTCATTTTTGCCTCTCCTAAATTATTTATCATGATTAACCCTCTAATGTAATTAATAAAATTTACAGACATTTTTCTAATTATCTTTTTGGATATATTTTCTCTTACAGGGTTACATTTTGCCATCTGCCTTTCCAGAGTAAGTGGCTCTATGTGGGCACTGAGCGAGGTAATATACATATTGTCAATGTGGAGTCCTTCACACTCTCAGGCTACGTCATTATGTGGAATAAAGCCATTGAACTGTGAGTTTGAGCGCATATTCTGTATCTGAAAGTATCAGTCCCATATAGGATATCTTTATATAATAGCTAATCAGCAGATCCATGTGGAATTAAATATGTCAGACATTCTTGATATTAAACACCATTTAATAGCCTTTTCTAAACGTTATCCTAGTAGCAGTTTGTAAATTTAAGTGCTTTATAATACAGATAGATATGTGAACATATGCATATATGATGTGTATGAATGTACAAACTAGCACAAGTTTAATGAAACAATTCTTTGGTGAAAAACACTCCAGTTTTTTTTTTTTTTTCTGTATTTTTATCTTCTGGTTATTTTTCTTCCAAATGCTGCACATGCCCCACTAAATTGATTTCACAACCCCCTGATGTGTTGCCACCAATGTTTAGAAAACATTGATCTAATCCATTACTTGATGTGTTTTAATAATCAACAAATATAATGTAAATGTTTGCAATGTAACATTACAGAATTTGAAAGTTAATTGTCTTTAATTTTGATAAAATGATTGTTTTCATTTAACAGTAACAAGAACAGGGCTGGGCTGAGCTATAAGGCCCTAAGGATCTTTAGCACTAACTTTGCACTCTGTTTTAGAATCTTATCTTTACATCTCATCTCAATTTTTTCTTATATTATTTAGATGTAAAAATCAAAGGATATCAGTAAGATTCATTTTTGGTATTTCTTTTTTTAAAAAAAATGGTTCTGTATTGTTGCATTGCACAGAATTTGACATAAAGATAAATTTGTAGCATCTCTTTTAAGTACCAGCAATAATGTATTACGGCTGGCTTTCCTTCCTGTGGCAGGGATGTATATCTCAGTTTCTTGGTACATGGTGTGCGTTTTTGCTGTTCTGAGTTGATCACAACATCCAGTGGGTAGGCCTAGTGCAGATGTCTGTATAGTTTCACAAAGGTTTCTCATGAAGTGGACTGGTGGTGTCTCAACCCTTGGAATTTATGAATGAATAGTGAGGTGCTTATTCCTACTGTATAGGCATAAGTTCAGCTCCATTCTTACCCGTATGACTTGTTTTTCTCTGACCAAGTACAGTGGCATTACTTCTGTTGACATTTTAAAAGAACATAATAGAATTTTTCCTATGTTTCATGTGAGCTATGGACCTGGATGAATGCCCCAATTGGAGGCAAAGTTTGAGTAAAGTAAGATAGCAATATTTTAGATGGTGCTTTATTTAAAAATATTAATTCTGAGAATTATAGCGTGAGAATAGGGGTTTTTTTGATGCTAAAATACAAAATTGAAGATTCTTGCCTATGTCAAAAGTATACTTGTATCAATGTCACTGTATTTTTTTCTGATTCCTGTTTTTTTTTTTTTAATTTAAATTCCAGTTAGTTAACACACAGTGTAATGTTAGTTTCATGTGCACACCCAATATGGTATTTCAACACCTCAGTACACCCAGTGCTCATTACAAAGGCACTCCTTAATCCTGATCACCTATTAACCCATCCACCCACCCATAGTTTTACTCTGAGTCCTATCTTATCCATATTAAGAACTATACATCTCTAATTAATCACTTACTGAATCTTTTCCTCTTTTATAAATGTATCATTATTTTCCATTCATTGTCTTTATTGTGATGAATATATAGTTGAATTGGAATTTTTAATTGAGAAAAAAACCCTGCTAACTTTTCTATTTTAGGTCATCTAAATCTCACCCAGGACCAGTTGTCCATATAAGTGATAACCCAATGGATGAAGGAAAGGTAGAATTTAAAAAATATATATATTTATTAAATGCATACATTCTGGTATTTTTATAAATATACGAACCGTTCCAGTACCACATACATGTACCTTGCAAAATTGAGATTTCTAATAAAGGTTGTACATCAGAGATGTTCACCGGTTTATACATTATGAAGAAAAAGTGAAAGGATTAGAATCATTTACAGTTTTAAAGAACAAAAAACCCTAAGACAAATAAAATTTAATAAGCACAATTAAAAGTTATTAATTTACTTTTGGCTTATTAAGATTTTCTGGTAATAACTGGCAAAAACTGTTTTGGTTTTGAATTATTTTTAACACTTTAGTTATACAATTTTTTGTAGCATTTATCACATAATGCCTTACATTAGAGTTGTCTGTATCTCATCTCCCTTAAACTTTTCTTCATAGCTATTATCTTAGATTAATAATGTAGATATTTTTTAAAAATAGTATTTCATTTTTTATATTCAAACTAGTTTCATAAATCAATATTTAGTTGTTATTTAGGTTTGTTAATACATTTAAAAATAATAAAATTTCCTTTTCCATGAATCTCTTTCCTAATTCAAATGTCTCTTAAGTAGTTCTATTTAATGATACTTTTCTACTTACATAATTTTTTATACTAGCCTACATAAACATTAGAAAGTTTATTACTATCAGAAATCAGTGAAATGAGATTTCTAGATTTTGTGAAGGTTTTTTTCTTCCCTCAGTTGGTGGGAGTGGTCCAGCCTGTATGTTATGTTAACACTATTCTCTTATTTGCCACTAGGAAAACAAAAGGATAGCTATACTGTTTGAAGTTTGCTTGTAATCAGACAGATGTATGTCTTGAGAGAAACTTCACAGGAAGCAAGTTATAGTCACCTGTACCTCTATTTTCTTTGCTATAAAGTATTTGTTTAGAAGCCAAGACTTTGGGTGGAAGGCATGGCAAGAAGGTTGCATCTTCCCTCCCTTCTACCTGGATTCAGTCTCTAAGACATTTCAGTCCTTTCTTTGAAATGTCTCTTTTCTATTCAATGTCATTATGACCACTAAAGTTTAAGGTATTCCAACCCATTCATGAGCCATTTCCACATCAGTCTTCCTAGAATGTTGTTTTACTACTATTGCTCTCCTGTGGGAAAGCTTTCAGTGATTCTGCAGTAGCTGACAAATAAAAGTTTCCTTAAAACATGGCCTTAGGTTTCATTGTATTTCAGAACATCTTTACTTGAATGTTGTGCTGAAGCAAATAGTTTCCCAAAAGTGAGCTACTCTTTATTACCTCCATACCTCCTTTCTGTGAGTCCCTCTGTTTGGAATGCTTTCCCACTATTCTCTCTCTGCTGAATTCCTACCCACATTTTGTGGCTCAGATTAAATGTTTATCTTTCATGACATCTTTGCTGACCATCCTGACTAAAAATGCTTTCTCTCACTTCCAAATTCATTAGCATTTTAGTTGTACAAGTTTTATAGTTTTTGTCACATATTGTCATGTATTAGAAATATGTATATGTCTCACCTTCCCTGAACATGAAAGACTCCTATAGCATAGAGATAATATTTATAAAGGTTTATGTTTCCCACAGCATCTGACGTATAAATAATAATGCCTCAATATAGACTTAATTTATTATGTAAATAAATTATATAAAACTGCTTATTTTCATCATTTTTTGAAACTTGTTTTTCTCCTTAGTTCCCAGAATTAATCTCATTCAAACATTTTTGAAATACTAGAATAGATCAAATTGTCTAACCTTTGGTTTCTAATAGAAAAATCCACTTTATATCAGTGACACTCTACTGTTTCCAAAAATCTTTGTGACAGTGTGTCGCTAAAGAAAGGTATAAGGTGACAGGGCAGGTTCCTCCAAAGCTAACCTTACAGTAGCTGCCACAACATTAAGCAAAGGTTTTAGCTAGGGAAGGTTAGGTATTAGTGTAAAATTGCTCATGATGCTAACAGTAAAAACTACCACTCACTGAATTCTGCTTTGTTTTGGGCACTGTGCTTTCTACCTCGTATGCGCTATTTTATTTGATCATTTAACAATTTTTAAGTTATTTATCTGCTGTAATTTACAGATGATGAGACAGAGACTTGGTGTCATTATATGTTCGAGAGGTACAAAGCTAGATGTTGATGGAGCTGGGATTTTGAATATGGATTGCTCTGATTTCAACCTCAGAATTATTAATGTTGTAGAGTTATATTCATATTTGGTATACTTACTAATGCTTTTTATGAGAGAAAAAATAAAAGGAAACTTAGTCAACAGTATATAAATTAACATCTCTGAATTATAAAAGATTCTAATAAGAATAAATATTGAAAGAATTTCCCAAGTTTAAATACCATATCTTTAAGTTAGCTCTATTTTTCTATTTTTTAATGTTTAGGAGATTATGTGGATGAAAGTCTAACCTGTTGGCATAGATTTCTGACATTCTTAAGGATGTTAGAGCTGTCTAGTGGGGTTAAAGCTTACTATAACTCTCTTATGTTATTAACACCTGGATGGGTAAAATTATTTCCTTAATGTTACATGGCTACCAAGTAACAGATCTAAGACTAGAGCTCAAGTGACATGTGTCCTGAGCAGTCCAGTGCTGTTTACACTGTACATCAACTCTTACATTTTATCCTTTTCCATCTCTTATTCCTAAAATTTCTCTATTATTTCCCCATCAAAAAATGCTATGTCATGTATCTAAGGTATTTAGAAGGACTAGGAAAAGACAAAGGAAAAAAATACCAGTTTTTCCTGGAAGGAGTATATATCTCACGTTGCTAGGAAAGAAGTTTGTGTTAGCAAAATTAAATGTACTTCCTACTGAGGTGAGGAGTTTTGTTAGCTTTAGTGATTGCCCCTCCAAGTGCCCCTTTAGTCTGAGATCCACTAAATTGCTATTTCATTAAAATTACTGAGCCTACCCCAAGCTTTGTTCATACCCCCAATTGCATGAAGAAATATTGGCTCTCTACTAATCATTTAAGTATTCATTAAATAGGTATTGATTGAGTGTCTGCTGTGCACTCAGCAGGATATTAGAGACATATAGATGAAAACACATGTGCTAGCATAGGTGGAGGATCTTAGTCTATCTAGAAGAATTGGGGATGGGCTTACCCAAGGGAGCAATGCTAATTTGAGACTTAAAAATGAATAGGAAATCATTGAATGAATAAAAGGGAAGGAAGTTTCAAGCAAAGGGAATATTGAGTTTTGAAAAATGCCAGGCTGAAGGGTTGTGGGCAGCAGAGGTTGGACAGACAGTGGACAGTTTGTAAAGTAAGAACATGCATTCCATTCTGTAATTTACTCATTCACATAAAAATGTATTAAGTACCTGCAACATATCAGTCAGGCTCTGTGTCTTTTGGTGATGAACAAAAAAAAAAAAAAAAAAAAAAAGTTCTTGCCTAAATAGACTAGTGTTATAGTCGATATGAGAATTCAAGGGTGCCTGGGTGGCTCAGTCAGTTAAGTGTTTGCCTTTAGTTCAGGTCTTTATTTCAGAGTCAGGCTCTCTGCTCAGCAGGGAGTCTGTTTCTCCCTCTCCCTCTGTCTCTCCCCCTCTACTTGTGATCTGTCTCTTGCTTTGTCTCTCATGTAAATAAATAAAATCTTTTAAAAGAGAGAGAGAGAGAGAGGGAGAGAGATTGAGAGTTCAGCTAAGGAAAAAGCCATTATTGTGTGCTGACCCTTCAGATTAAAAAATATACAGAGTACTGTTGGAATACATGGAAATGAGATTGATTTACATTTGGTAGGTCAAGGAAGGCTACCCAGAGGAAGTGATAGCTAAAACAACATTGGAAGGATTAGTGGGATTGATCAGGTAAAGAGGATGACTTCAGATATGGCCCAGGTAGGGAGACAGCAAAGATAAGAGAAAGCATGAATTGAAAGATGTGCTGGAGTGTACTGGGTAAGAGGGATGTGACAAGGGACAAGGCTGTAGAGGTAAGCAGAGGTCAGACCATGATAAATCTTCTAGGTCATGTTACTCAGTTTGTACTCTATCCTAACAGTTATAGTAAGGCATTAAACATTTTTTTTGGCATTAAAAAATTTTTAAATAAAAGCATGAATTACATGATCATGCATTTTAGAATTGGTAAACACTAGCTACAGTCGGGAATGGATTTAAAAAGAGCAAGACTGGAGTCAGGGAGACCAGGGGACCAGAAGCGAAAACTTTGTGTCTTAAACTAGAAGAGAGGTATTGGGGGTGGGGGAAAGTAGAAAGATAATAGAGTGTAGTTTTAAAATTGATGATTTTACCTGACAAGGGAGAGAGTAGAGTTAAGGATGACCCTCCCACCCCAAGGTTTTTGTCTGAGTGACTTAATGAGCACTAGGGAATACTGAGAGAGACATTGCAGTTAGGGAACACCAGAAAACGAGGGCAGGGAAAAAATAATGAATTCACTTTTAGACACATTTACATTGACATTCTTGTGGAGTAGATAAAGGGAGCTGTTGCCACTGGAATTATGGGTCTGAATCTTATGAGAGGAATCTAGTCTGGATTAGAACCTTCAGTAGATATATGAGTAAATGATATTGGCTGATAATGTGTTGAATTAGGAAAGTTTATAAACTCTAAAGCATACACAAATGTTAATTTTTATTAGTAATTTATTATGTCATATTAATGAAAATGTATACTCAGGACTTCAAAATGATACTATTTTCTTTCTCAATAATTAGTTATATTTGTTAAGTCCCTAATCATCAAAGACATATAAACATGCAGTGCAGTATTCTCATTTGTCATTCCTGTGATTGGCAATGCGATGTTTAATTATAACTTTATACTTGAAGCATATGAATGATAATAGTTATCTTTATTGTCATCAAATAAATGTTTCACATAATTAATATAAATCCTAGATCATGTGGCATTCTTTTTTCTTACAGCTTTTGATTGGCTTTGAATCTGGAACAGTAGTGTTATGGGACCTCAAATCAAAGAAAGCCGACTACAGATACACATATGATGAGGTAATAACATTGTTTTTGCTAATCAAACATTTTTATCATTTTTCTAATTCAGAGCAACTTCTCTAAGAACTTAGTTGGTGATTTTAGTTGAGGCAACCTTTGTAATTGCAATAAAAGACTTTTTTACTTTTATATAATAATCACATAGCTCAAAAGATTAAAAAAAATCTCTTTTCCACCTCTATCATTTGGCTGTCCAGTCCCTTAACTACTGGTACCAGTGTTCCCAGTTTCTCATTCTTCTAGAGGCATTCTAGAACTCTTCTAGAGTTTCTCAAAGACTAGATTTTTCTGGTTCCATCCCTCTTGTGTTTCACATCTTTTTTTTGTCCTTAGATTTTCTATAAACTGGTTTACTGAGGCTTGATCAAATTCGGATTCATTTTTCATTTTAAGCCAGACTTCTTAAATGATGCTGGTACCCTTATATCAGTTGGAGAGTTCATGTCTGTGAGGTTAGCAGCCAGTGCTGTTCAAGGCCTAGATTTATCAATGCATAGAGGTTGCAAAATGAAGATGTTCTGATTCTGTAATTCCTATCAGACACTTGATAAAAAAAAGAAAACTTCTCACCTGCTGTTTGGTTAAATAGTAGTATAGTTAATAAAGGAAAGAATAAATGATTCTTCGCTTTTATTTTAGTGTTTACTCTAAAGGAGTGTTCTGTAGTAATTCCAGTGGTGACCAATTTGTTCTTGCTTTTAGTTTCACTATGTACTTGAAAATTTAAACATATTTGTGCTTCAGTACATTGAAGTTGTTGTCCTTATTGATTTTCAAATTCTCCCATTTTGGTCCATGAGCCTCTTTTTCTTGATTCCTGTGTTCTTTGGTGATAATAGTCTTGGATATCTTCCTTTCTGTTATTTTAAAAAGTATAACTATTAATCTTGCATATTTTTGTTTCAAATTTAGAATAATTTTTTTTCCCTTAGGAATTGTGGCTTCTTCCAGTGTGAAATGGTCTCTGGTAACTGTAATCTGGGGATTAGTAGGGTCATGATTTCTAATTCAATGATTAGAACTAGGAAGTGTATGTGGTTTTGCTTGCTTATAAGATAAAATATGTCATGTCTTTGTAATGATGCTTTCAGTTACTTAAAACAGCAGACTATATTGAGTAACTATAATAATACTTGGTATAGTTTATAAATATGTGCATGTGATCTTTGTAAGCATGGCTAAAAAAGAATGTCCCTTGTTTTCATAGCTGCATACTTTTTTTTCATACTTTCTGTTTTTAAGGTTTTTGGTTACTAAGCACTGTGTGATTCACTAATCAAGATCTTAAAAGTATTTAAGAAAAAGATCTTAAAAGTATAAAAAATATTTTAAATGAAAGGTTCTTTCAATTTCATTGGAAGTTTTGTCCTATAAGTCTATATTAAAATCAGAGCAGGTTTTAAAAATTCGCTTTTTTTGTTTTGCTTCTTATAAATTTAAATATTAACCTTGGCTTTAGCCATTATGGAATCACAGGGAGTGGATTTATCCTCTTGCCTTAAGCAAATACACTGGAAAAATAAATAAAAAAACATTTTTTAGAAATTAGCAGGTATTAAGAGCAAAGATTCCAACTGCTGGGGCGCTGTCCATTTCTGTTAGGAAGGACGTTAGGTTTCAGGTAGGTGTTAAGGAGAATAATTACCATGACTTCAAGTGCTTTGATGAAACCTCAGATGCGAGGCCTCTGGCCGAGAGTCTGCAATTTCATATCGTTGGAGCCTTTGCTGTATCCCTGGGGGTTGCAGCTTTCTATAAATTTGCTGTGGCTGAACCAAGAAAGAAGGCATATGCAGATTTCTACAGAAATTATGATTCTATGAAAGATTTTGAGGAGGTAAAGAAGGCTGGTATTTTAGAGTGCAAAGTGAATTTGGAATATAAAGAATTTCTTTGGGTTGCGTTTCGTTGAAGCTTGTCACTGACTGTCCTGTGTTCCTGAGCTATGAAACACAAACACTGGGTTATGGAATAGTTTCTCTTAATAAACAACTAAAAAAAAAAAAAAAGAAAAGAAAAGAAAAAAGAACAGAGATTCCATAGAGGGGAGACAAACAAGGTAGCCATTTAGTTGCCTTAGCTTATGGCCTAGAGGTTTTCAAGGTCTCTACATAAAGGAGAAACCTAGGTGGAAGCTCAATAGTCTCTTTGGGTTGAGGAGACAGAATAGAGAAACTGGGTAAGCCAAGATATTTGTAGCCTATAAGGCACTATACCAAAGGACAGGGAACTACCTAGAGAGAGTGTTAAAAATATATAGGGAACTCCCCACCCTGAGTCTTCAGGTAAATACTGATTAGTGTGTGGGTGTGAGGCTTTGAAAAGATCCACTAGAAAGGAATAGGTAAAACAGTTGTCACAGCACACAAGGCCAAGAATAGCTCACATTTGCAATAGAGTGGAGAACACCTTGTAATGCACACGACATCAGGAAGAGTACTCAGAAAGGTATTGTCTCAGTAGTGGGGCTTCCCTAACCCTACACTAAAGACTCACCTCCCTGGATTAACAAAGCTTAAAAGCAAGCCTTGAGAAGTCTAAACTGTTTTCAGATAATACAACTATTCTAAAAGGTTCAAAAGTATTTCAAAGAATATAATAATAACCCACCATAAATTTCATAATAATTAGCATCCAGATAAAAATTTGAGGCATAGAAAGAAGCCAGAAAGTATGATGCAAAATAAAAAGAAAATCCAGTCAATAGAATCAAACTCAGAAATGACACGATACAATTAGTAGACAAGTATATTAAAATAAATGTTACTAAATAGGTTCCATATGCTCCAGAAGGTAAATGAAAGCATGAACATGCTGAGAAAGGACAAGGAAGAATTGAAAAACCCAAGTGAATCTCTAGAGATGAAGAAGTAAAATGAGATAAAAAATACTCTGATCAAATCAAAAGGTTTGATCTTGCAGAAGGAAAGATTGATGAACTTGAAGGCATAACAGTGAAACTACTCAATATGAAAGATGGGCAGAAAAGGACAGAAAGAGTGAACTGTGGTTCAGCTTCAGGCAGACTAATGTTTGTGTAATAATCCCAGAAGAGGGAACATGGAAAGTATATTTGAAGAAATAATGACCTAAAGTTTTCCAAATTTGATGAAAAATATAAACCCTATAAACTAATAGGATGTATAGAGATCACAGAAGTTCTGTGAACTCAAAGCTGAAGGAAAATGAAGGAAAGCTATTTAAAAGCACATATTTCAGTTACTTAAAATTAGAACTAGTGATACAGAAAATCTTAAAAGGCAAGGGGGGGGAAGGGAACACATTAAATACAGAGTAACAAATATAAAAATAACAGCAAATGATTTCTTTACAAACAGTGCAAGCCAGAACACACTAGAACAATACCTTTATGGTACTGAAGAAAAAAAATTGTCAACTTAGCATTTTATGTTCAAAAAATTATCTTTGAAAACAAAACAAAAATGCTTTTACACACTTTAAAAACTCAAAGAATTCCTCACTTGCAGACCTTCGCAGCAAGCCACATTAAAAAGGTTTCATGCAGCAGGCAAATGATATAACTGGAAATATGATCTACTCAAAGGAATAAAGGACACCAGAAATGGTAGATATGTAGATAGGTATAAAAGCTTTTTAATTTTTTAAATTCTCTTTAAAAGATAATCACAGGAATTAGAAATGATAAAAATGCATTGTAGGATTTCTGACATGTAGAATTAAAATCAGACAATAGTAGCACAAAGGTCAGGAGACAGAATCTTTTTGTAAGGTTATTATACTGTACCTGAAGTGTTAGAATATTACTTGAAGGTGGACTATGATAAAGATTTATGTGATAAATCCTAAAGGAAATACAGTAACCCAAATAGGTAAGCCAAAGAGGAATATAAAATGAAATTTTAAAAATACTCAATCCATGGGCAGCCCCGGTGTCTCAGCGGTTTAGTGCCACTTTCGGCCCAGGGTGTGATCTTTGAGACGTGGAATCAAGTCCCACGTCGGGCTTCCTGCATGGAGCCTGCTTCTCCCTCTGCCTGTGTCTCGGCCTCTCTCTCTCTGTGTCTCTCATGAATAAATAATTAAAATCTTAAAAAATTCAATCCAAGGTAGGCAGAAGAGGAAAAGGGGAACAAAGAACAGATGGGGGAGATAGAAAAAAAAATAGCAGGGCAACAGATTTAGATCAGCTATGTCAGTGATCATATTAAATGCAGTCATTTAAATACCCCAGATAAATGGCAGAGATCTTCAAATTAGATCACAAAACAAGATCAGACTCTACGCTATTAGAAACCCACTTTAAATATAAAAACCCAGAAGTGTTAGCAAAAAGTAAAAGCACCAAATTAGAAGAGTGCTAAAATGGCTGTATTGATACCTGAGCACTCTCTTCAACATCAGAGTGCCATTCAAGGACATGTGGAACATTCACCAAAATGGACCTTAGTTTGTGCCATAAAATAAGTCATTATAATTTTAGAAAAATTGAAATTATTAAAAATATGTTCCTTTAATATAATAGAATTTAAAATTGATAAGATGATACATGAAAAATCTACAAATATTTGAAAGTGAAACAATATAATTTTAAATGACCCATGAGTCAAAGAAGAAACAAAATGAAAACGTATTTTAAACTTAAAAAAAGTGGAAATATGATATGGAGGTCTATGAAATGCTACTGAAGTATTCACTGTGGCATTAAGTGTTTGTGTTAGAAAATGAGAAGTCTCAAATCAATGGCCTCAGCTTCCACCTGAACAAGAAGAGCAAATTAAAACCAGAGTAAGCGGTAGAATGGAAATAACAAATTAATGAAATAGATAACATAAAAACAATAGAGAAAATTGGTAAACACATAGCCACAGGGATAGCAAAAAGGAGAAAAGGCATAAATTACCATAACAGGCCCGAAAAAGGAGATATTACTTCAATTTTTAGATAAATGCAAAAAGACTGGTAAGGAAATATGTGCAATTTCATACTAATAATTCAACAATTTAAAGTGGGCAAATGCCATACAAGACACCAAAATCCTTAAAAGTACCAAATCTCATTCTAGGAGAAATAGTTAACCTGAGTAGCTCTATATTTATTAAAGAAATTAAATTTTTAATGAAAATGTTTCCCATGAAGAAACTCCAGGTTCAGAGGGCTTTTTATTAAATAGTACTCACAGTACCCAAACTCCTTCCAGAAATGGAGGAGGGCACTTCCCAGTTCATCTTGCAAGGGCAGCATTATCTTCATATCAAAGCCTGACAAAGAAATTATAAGAAAGCTACAGACTAGTGAACAGATATGCAATAGAAAGGCAAAGTCATAAAATTTATTCTTAATAAATAATAACATATAAAATGACTAAATCTTATGTTTAAATAATAGTGCTGTGGATATAAGATCTAACTTCTAACTTCACCTGTTCTTAAGCAAACTAAGTGAAAATTTCTGACTATATTTCTGTGAGTTCATTCATGCTCTTTTATGCTCTTGGTTCATATAAAAATGCTTTATATTTGATTCTTTTTTATTTATTTATTTATGATAGAGAGAGAGAGAGAGAGAGAGGCAGAGACACAGGCAGAGGGAGAAGCAGGCTCCATGCACCGGGAGCCTGATGTGGGATTCGATCCCGGGTCTCCAGGATCGCGCCCTGGGCCAAAGGCAGGCGCCAAACCGCTGCGCCACCCAGGGATCCCTATATTTGATTCTTAATGCAGATTGCCAAGTGTGTAATTTTAGAAATCAAAGAAATTATTAATTCTCACTAGTGAGGGTTAAAACTTTAAGAGCTTCACAAAATCCCACCCCTACAACAGCCCTTCCCCCAATATTTACTTTCTACCAAGGATGTATTACTCCAGTCAAATTCATTTTTATTAAATTGGGGCAAATAGTGTTATAATATCAATTCTGAACATTTCCAATATAATAAAAGTTCTTGGTGCATTTTTAATTGTTCATTTGGTTTCTTGAGGATGATTTACATGGGTGGGAGTAATGGAAACAGAAATTCATCTTTACCCTTAACCTTTAGTTGCTTTGTGTAGCCATAGTTAGTACTTTTTGAATTGACAAACTCCCCTGGTTTTATGTCTAAATAATAGATTTTCAGTGTACTTGAATAGTATCCCTAATTTTCTACAGAAATTTTCTGCATAGGGTATTTCAATCTATATAAACTTACATTTCTGCAATGAACATTTCATTCCTTTTAGGCTATAAATAGTATTAAGATATTAGTACTCTTTTTTATAAGTAATATGTTGGCAGGAATAAAATATAGCATTATTGATGTTTTAAGACAGTAATTTAGTACTTATCAAAGCTAATTTAATGGTTACTCTTTGTCATATCTGGAGTTGATCAGTGACTTTTTTATTCTGGTTTCATGTTGTTTTTTTCTAGTAAACTGAGACACCACAGATAGAAATGTAGGTAATAAAAAAGTTTGTACATTGCTAGCTCTTGTGAATACATTTATCTCAAAACTGTCAGTCTTTTAAAAAAGAATATTGAAATAATATGTTTGTAACTCACAGCATTGGACTCCTTAACAGCTTTTAAAAAATTATGTTTTATCCTATAGATACTCACTGAAGCATTTATTCCTTTAAGGTCTTTCTTTTCAATGTTTAGAGAGGTGCTTTTAATTTTTACAACAGCTTGTTTTCTGTTAATTTTCTCTCTTCCTCTCCCCTCCCTCCCCTCCTTTCCCCTCTTCTCCCCTCTCCTTCCCTCTCCTCTCCCCTCCTCTTTCCTCTCTCCCCAAGGATGAAACAGTACTTAGAAAAATGAATAATTTGTTCACATTTTCAAAATTTCTAAGAGAGTTCCATTTGGATTCTTTTTTTTTAATGGAAATGGCAGTGTTTTCAATTTATGCCTGTTAATACTTTTAAGTTATAAATCACTGAATATCCAATATATAATAATTTTGTCAACTATTTTACAAAAATGTATTATTCTATACTTAATTATACAGTATTACTGTTGTCTCCTTCCTACAATGGAAATATTAAAATGTTCATTAGTTAAAATACTAGGGCCAAAGCTCTACAATTTAATGTATTATTCAAATATACAAGAAATAATCCAGTGGTCTATGCATTTACTTTGTTATTTGATAACATGAGAATAATCAAACTAGAGTGTTTTCGATATTTCCTTTCCATGTATATGCAAGCATTATAAATTAAAATCGAAGTGTGTATTATAACATTTTTTTCTTTTATCATTCAGTAACATTTTTCTAAAGTTTTAGGAATAGTAATTATACTAGCAATCAATATTGCTTTTGGATATAATATTAAGATCTTATTTTCTAGGGGAAGAGAAATAATTTTTGGTATAAGTCTGCTAAAAGAATGTTTATCAGTTTATAATGTAGGAGTAGCTGGACTAAGATTTATATGCAGCCTTTACTATGAAGTGATTCTAACGATTCTGATCAGTTTGCAGAATGAGTAAATAGGGAATTTATTTAATTTCCCCAGTAGTTTGAGTTAGTGTGATTGTAAAATTTGATAGGTAAATAGCTAGCTAGCCTGTTATCTTTCCAGAAAATTACTCTTTAAGATGCTCTTGATAAAAATAGCACAGAGCATCTTATATACTACTTTTGCCAGAGCCTAATAATGAGATGTCACAGTTTTAAAAAAGAAAGAAAATTGCAGAAATAAATCATGTATACTGCATGCAAAAGTTTATATTTGGTTATTCTTTTGTGTAGTATTTTCTGGTATTTGTTTCTCTCTGTTATCCAAAATAATTATGAACCCATTGCTCCTTATAATTAGTTAGCATTTATTTTTAGAGTAGTTAACAACTTAATACTATCTTAAAAGTAAATGGTACTTTTAAACAAAAACATATCATTTTCTTTAGCAAAGTAGAAATATTCTCTATAAATATTATACATTTATATATGATATATTTATATGCATAAGATTAGAATGTTTTTATTTATAAACGACACTTCAGACACACTGAAGCTCTCTTGTATTTCCTTTATCACTTAAAAAAATATTTAAAAGCTTTGTAAAGCTCTTTAGCTCTACTTATAGTATACAGAAATAATTTCATCTGTTAAGGCTAATAAAGGGTTTATTTTAAGTTTGAGTTTGTGGAATATCGTATGTGTATCTTGGAATAAACTTATTACTGTTACAAGATTTTATTTAGGCGCTGCCTGAATGGCTCAGTCAGTTAAGCATCCGACTTTTGATTCCTGCTCAGGTCATGATCTCAGGGTCATTAGGTTGAGCTCTGAGTTGGGTTCCATGCTTAACACAAAGTCTGCTGGAGATTGTCTCTCCCGCTGCCCTTCCCTTGTGCATGTGGGCAGTCTCTTTATCTCTCTTTCTCTCTCCTTCTAAAATAAATGAATAAACCTTAAAAAAGGATTTTACTTAGAAATTTGTTAGAGATACTTTGAACTTGAAACATTGTATTAAATATTGGCATTTAGAGACTCAGCTAGTTGACTTTATCCACCTTCATTTATATTTTAAAATATCCCTATTGTTTTAAATAATATAAGCGTATGAGGAACCCAAATAAATGGACATTGAACAAGATGATAGGAAATGTTGACTTGTACGAAAGTGGAATTCAGTTACATGGTTTTATACTGTACTTAGCAGTTCTGCCTTCCAGTAGGGCAATTTTAAAGTCAATTGACCATTAGGAACTAGAAGTGTATCAACTTGAGTTGAAAAGAAATAATTTAAAAAGCAGAAATAATACTGATTGTGTATAACTTGGTATTTAGATTTTCTTTCTAAAGATGGAATTCTTCACTCTTTTATAGGCTATTCACTCGGTTGCTTGGCATCATGAGGGAAAACAATTTATTTGCAGTCATTCAGATGGCACCTTGACTATATGGAATGTGAGGTCCCCAGCTAAGCCTATGCAGACAATCACTCCACATGGTAAGAACATATTCCTTTTGAACACTACATAAATTGTCATGCACAGTAAACTCTTTTGAGTTTGCATTTGGATTTATTTTTGAGGATAAGAATGAATTTTCTTTCATTTTGAGGAAATTAAAAATATTTACATGTATAGAAATAAAATGTAACAACCAGGTAATAAAATCTCAACTATATTTACAATTGAAATTTCAAATTTGAACCTTGAGAAAATGAATGGAACATTATATTTTGAATATTGTTTGTCTAGTAGTCCAGAAAGTAAATAATTTTGTGAATAATACAGAACTTACTGTAAGCCTTTGTCATCCTAAAGTTATCAATTGTAAGTTGCTAATACACACGCGCGCGCACATGCACACACACATAACAGTGTGCGGAAACACTTTAAACTCTACAGAAGGAAAAAAAAAAACTCTACAGAAGGTAATTTTATGCATTAAGGTATTATCTCAAAGGTCTCTAAGATCACTCTAAGTTTAATGATTTACCAGTAAGACTCACAGGACTCAGCAAAATAGTGAAGAGCAAAAATCAGCAAAGGGAAAACATACATGCAATAAAAGTGTAAACTAACCCAGCCTCAAGCTACCAATAGAGTGACACAGGACATGCTTACTTCCTCTAGCAGTGAGTTATTACCTGATGTGTGAGATGTTGTCTACCTTGGAAGCTCATTTGAACCCAAGAGCCCAGAGTTTTTAATTGGAATCAGTCCATGGGTACTGTCTTCTTTAGCACATACCAAAATTTCAGATTCCCAGAAGGAAAGCAGGGATTGTTCATAAATTGTTTTGTTCATACAAACAGCTTAGGCATAGTGTGCCACCCTTATCAGTCTGGAAATGGTGGAAACTATCTCAAAAGCCAGTTACCAGATGCCAACCAACCAAGAGCTAACATTGCAAGCCAACCTTTCTAGGGATAGCAGTTTCAAGTTTGCTGTGTTTTCTGCACAAAATCTATCTATAAAACCCATAAGATTTTATTAAAGTGTTTATGAACTGATTATGAAGACCTTCCTTGAGTTTTGGATGAATCTTAGGAATTTGCATTTCTTTATTAATCTGCATTCTCACCCTAAGAGATTCTTAACCAGTGAATTTAGGGAGATTAATGGAACTGTTCTTTACATTTTAGTCTATTGAAGAATATCCTTGTGGTATTGCTAATATTTCATTGTTTGCTTTAAAATTATCAGTGCCCACTTTAAAGAAAATATTGATCCATTCTGAATTACTACAACATAGAAACTAAGGAAAGATAAATCTTTAACTTTAGTATCTGTGGCATAGTGGGTTTTTAGAGTTATTTGTTTTCTAGGAAAAATAGTAATTCATAAAGCTACACATTGTGGTATACTTTACCACTGCTTTATGGGAGCAGTGATCTAGAAAAGCCCTTATTTTAAATTTGCTATGGGTCTATGCATGCAACCAGAGGATAGCCCTTATGATTAAGGTTCCAGTTTTTCTTAATATATTTTCATTCTTTATTCTGTTAGTGCCTTGTTCCCTAATTTTGTTGATATTCCTGAGAATTCCCATAAATTTTAGGATTTCCTAAGACCTCTAGAATTTAGGAGTCCTGAAAACCAAAAAAGTAGATGATTAGTTTTAAAAACTTTCCAGGGTGCCTGGGTGGCTTAGCAGTTGAGTGTCTGACTTCAGCCCAGCGTGATCCTGGAGTCTCAGGATCCAGTCCCACATTAGGCTCTCTGGATGGAGCCTGCTTCTCCCTCTGTCTATGTCTCTGCCTGTCTCTCTGTCTCTCATGAATAAATAAATAAAATCTTAAAAAAAAAAAAGCAAAAAACAAACTTTCACTTCAAATCCAGAAGAAAATGAACCTAGTATCAAAGGCAGTAAGAATAAATAACATTGGTTTTGGAGTTTTATCTAAATTTTATCTTTTTTTAATTAGTATCCTTTTTTTCTTTTGAATCATTTGAGAATAAGCTGTTGACATACTACCCAGTCACCCCAAAATATTTCGGTATCTATTTCTTACAAACAGGAGCATTTTCCTATATCATCCAGTTTTGCCTTTTATCAAAAAGGTGTATATACAGATTACATTTAGTTGTCATGTTTTGTAAGTCTCTTTCAAACTTAAACAGTTGAGCTTTTTCTTGACTTTCATAACTGTCAATTTTTGAATATCTAGGTCAATTATTTTATAGAATATGTCTATGTTGGGTTTTGTCTGATTCTTTTTTTATGCTTAGATTCAGGTTTGTAATATCTTAGAATGATTAATACATTCTTTTTGCTGCCTCTCAAGTGGAACTTCTTCTGTATGATTTGTCCAAATTGATGATATCTTATACTTTGATCCCTTCATTAAAGTTCTGTCTGTTAGATCTATTACGATGTTCTTTTTTGTTTGAAATTAATTACTTTTTGATTTGTATTTGTAATCAGATAAGTATTTTGATTTGAAGGAAGTACTCTGAGATTGTCAACACACTGTTCCTCCTCAAACTTTTATCCTCTGACTTTAGCACCTGTTGTTGTTTTTAGCCAGATTAATTTTACTGTGGTAATTGATAAATGGTAACTTTTCTATTTAATCTTGACCCCTTTTTGTATCAAAAAGTTAGATCCTAGAGAGCAGACTTTCAGAAGTGGAGTAAATACGTTTCTGCAGAGTTTATAATGTATTAGCAAAGAGGGTCACTAGCTAAAATTATTTTTAAACAAAGAAGACAAAGAATATTTGATTTAATATGTTTTTTTTTTTCAAAATTGGAATCCAAACAAAAAGTAAGTTTTTTCTGTGGCAGGTGTTAAGTAGGATGGCATTTATTGCATATTTTGGTGGTCTAAAATTATAGATAATCAGATGTACTCTTTAGTTATAAAATATGAATTATTTTTGAGACTAGTAATGTTTACTGCTTATTTTTAGTGGTATGTAACCTACCAGAATTAAATTTATGTTGATAGCTGATTTCAGTGACAAAACTAAGTGCATTTTTACACATTGAAGTACAAAAATGTGTTTTTCATGCCATGACAAGATGATGTATTTTCCATACTTGTGGTATATAATTGTGGTATACTAAATGTCTGCTTTAATGGATTGAAATTTGGGGTTATTTTTTCATTACTATCTTCTGTTCTCTCTTTTATTTTCTAGCAGTTATGGTAAATTACTTTAGATATACTAAAAATTGTTTCCATTTTGGATTTTTTGTTATTTAAACCCATTTAATGGTTGTTTGAGTATCTTCTGAAAAAAAAAAAAAAACATTTGTAAATGTTACCTTGATAGCCAGGAACTGATTGTACTTTAAGACTCCTTTGGTACTTTATTACAGGATGTTTAGTGTTAAGAATAGTTTAAGATGTCCTTGAATAATCTGTTCAGAAAGCATGTTATATCAGCCTAACATAGGGTTTTAAAGCCAAAAGACTTGTGGTAAAGCCCTGATTCCATAGTCTGAGTCTGTGACCTTTGGGGAAGTCACTTAACATTTTTGAACCTCAGCATTCACATCTATAAATAGAGATAATTAAACTTAGTCTTCTTGTGCGGTTGTTGTGGGAATTATTTTTATTCAACAAATATTGGATCTAACATGTAACAGGCACTGTTCTACGTCTTGGATCAAATAAGCAAAATATAAGTGAAAGTATCCCAAAATTGTGATGTGCTATACATATGTGATCATAATAAACATGAATCTGGGTGTATTATTTATTTGGTAGGATAGGACTGAAAGATTGTTAGTGTTCCCCAAATTATATTTCACATACCAATTTTTCTTATTTTAATGAGTTTTTCAGTGAAGGACCATGTTAAGGTCAAAGATTTGGAAATGCTGAATTAAAGGTGAACATTTTCTTCATTGTAAGACTTCTTAACTTTTAATGTGTACTATGAATTTATTTTGTGTCGCTTTTCACAAACTTACTGCTTTAGTGTCTTGTATTTGGAGAACATCTTGTGGTTCCCCAGTGCTCTATGAAATATGCTTTTGAGGAATGATGGCCTTGAACTATAATTGAATCATAAGAGCATTCTCCAGATTTTTTAGCTATGTTGACTTTACCCTTGGATGACATCTTGCATTGCTAAAGTTGTTTGATAGCAAACTCTCATTCTGAGGGGCAGAGCATTTATCTAGATAGTGATGATAAAGTAGCCAGCATAAGAAAATAATTTGAATTCATTTGAGATAATTGTTTGATATAATACTGGATTTTATAATGCATATAAAGATGGTTGATAGCTGTATTTTTTCAGAAAGCTTTCATTTGTGTGTCTGAAATACTTAACAGGTGATTTTTTTTTTACTAACTAAAACAGTGATAGCTCTCTTTAATCTAGTTTTTATGAATATCAGAGAACATTTCCCTGGCACTGTAACAACCTGGAATGTAAATAGCTTTGCTATGTGTAGAAATACTTTGTGGAGACAATTACTATTCTCTGGGATTCTAGTTTCACCATCAATAAAATGGTAGAATTGAACAAGGTGATTTTTAAGATCTAAAGTTTTGTGAATATGTTTCCACATATTGGAAATTAAGTAGGATTTGTTCCATCTATTGACTGCAAAGTCGTTTCATCTTGGTGGGCTATAAATGTTGTATTTCTGTGTGGTAAGCCTATGGGTGAATTCTGCTTCTCTCTTTTGACCTGTTTCTCTTCTCTGACAAATTTTCATAATTTAGGAGGGAAGAACTTGATAGTCCTGGCATGGCTCATATATTTACCCTGAAGCAGTCATCATGGTTCAGTGATATACTGGCTCAGGGCACCACAGGATCTTCCCTGTAACCCTGGGTATGTGTGTGTCAGTGTGAGCTTTTTCTAATTGTCGTCTTCACCAACATCAGATGATTCTCAAAGGAAATGGAGGTGACAGATCGTCAAAATCAATAGGTGCCCATTAAAGGAAAGGACAGTTTAAAACTTAGTTGGAGCTTATTCATCATATGATTAATCTGCTTATTAAGGAATAAACCAAGATTGAAGAGCTTTAATTC